GCAATCTGCCGTCCCCATTTATGTGCCTCTGATTTGGCACAATTGCACAAAATATATCCAAGATGATTGCTTGACGTATAAAATCATTAACCACATGATGTTCGTTCTATCGAGATAACGCGATAAACAACATGATGCCATTCGCCACCCGACCTCAAATCACATCTCTCTGTATAATAAATCTGTATATAATAAAATATCAAAGATTTGATATCAATGAGTCAATGACATTTCCCACCAACCGGGCTTGAAACCGCGGCACAGACTACAACAAGGTGAGACACCGCACGATCACAGATCTGAGTCAGACCGGACTCGGAGTCGATTGCCGACTACTGACCTTTTGGGACAGGACACTAAATGAGCTTGGACATGGGGACATGGACTCCGACTCGGACTCGCGCCTGATCACCTTCGAATAGGACTCGGACCTCTCGGGCCATTTGATTCGGACACGGGCTCAACAGCAGTGACACTAAAGTGACTTGGGATTGGATTTAGTGACCCGGGACTCAGAAATGGTACCACAAAGCATGTAACGTGAAAAGGAACGCGCGGGACTCCGACTCGCCCTTGGGACACCTCACCTCCGACTCACCCAGGACTACCAGCACTAGTCAAGACTCGTCTGTCGACTAACAACGATGTTACAGCTTCCCACCATGCACCTAACCCCACGTGACCGATCAAAACGCGGCCGTGCAATCAATACTCACGCTCTACCTCGATGACCGTGGAGCGGCCGAGCGATATCCAGATCGGCGTGTACTCGCCCTCCCGGCGCATCTGGCTGAACACGCCCGCGGAGTCACGAACACCTGCAGTTTGTTGGTGCTCGGGTCCGTGCAGGGGCTCAGCCGCTGCCGATCGTCCCGCTCGGCCCCACTTTGTCGCGTTGCAGAGCGCCCTGGGGGTGCCGAGCGGATAACAGTCACGCTCGGGGCGGATCAGGGTAAGGTTGGGCGATCTGCAGGACCCCATCGCCGAATTCATCACCTTGGACGGCCCCATGGTGCAGTGTAGGCAAATCGTCAGACGGCTCCGCCGCGCTAGACTTATGCTCGACTCGACCTAAATCGTGAATGGGCTTACGGACCAGTCGTTTTGGGGTGAGCCGCGAGCTGAGTTGGCTCGTTATTAAAAAATGTCGCTTATGAGCCATGAGCCGAAGATGATTTTTTGTAAATTGTATCAGCTGAATCGTAAGTCGGTCATTTATTGCAACGTAGTGCGTTCATCCATTCAACTGGCTCTTGTCTTGAGACTCGGCTTACTCGACCAATATGCTGGTCAGTTTGACGGTGCCCGCTGTCGGCTGCGTGCGCAGTCACGTTGGCCAGCGAGTCAGGCGGCGCCGGCTCGACCCCGGGGGTTGGGTGCCTAAGCCGTAAATAAAAGGGCATTCCGAAACAGATGCAGAGCTAGGTGACTTGACACCTTAATTTCATAGCGCAGGTAATCAGCAGTGAGTTTCTCAGGAGGTCGGGTGGTAGAGGAGATCAGAGCAAGTAGGAAGAGTCCCGACGCTGGCTATCTCTGAACGTAGTCATCCGTCGCACATGGCAAACTTGCTCGTCTCTGAGCTCCGCCACGATATCGTCCTCGGTCATGAAAGGGAGCTCAGGCGCAAAGATAGTGCAATTAGTGATGTTTCGTTCGTAGTGCATGGAAACTTTTACTTGTTGGCCACAAAACTCGTTTTGAGCAGAGCCTTGATCTGCGCGCAAATGGTTATCTTTATGATGTATGTTGTATGATGTATGTTGCATGGTGTTGCATGTTACATGTTGCATGATGTCGCCCCCGTGATCTAGGGAAAGATGATGGACTCGCAGTCCAGTGACACTGGGTACGAGTCCCAGAGCGGGTGCATTGATTGGCCCGACCGACATGGAATTAGGTCAGCTGGCAACTTGGCCAACGAGGGTCAACCGTGCCTGGGCGGGCCGTGTCGCAGCATTGTGCGGCACGTAAAACCCTCCGCGTTCCTGTCTGGCGCAAGGGCGGAGGCAAAATTTTCCGTTGAACTGGGTGGTTAGACTTGGGTGGTGGGTTCAGGGTACACGCAACCAGCTATGTTTAGCAGGTACTGTGAACCCAGTCACCCACGCAAACCATTCGGAACAAATCTATTGTTTTTAAAAATGTTCTGTGCAGGATGATGTAGGGGTTGTTTTTGTAATACGTTTACTGGTGGTTTAATTTTTAATTCGCATCAGTCACAAATAACCTTTTTCGTGTTTTTTTTGGTTTTTTGGTTTTTTCTGGCCATCAAAACAAATTCAAATTTGTTTTGATGGCCAGAAAGCGTTAATTTTCCAAAATGATGCATTCTCAGCACAGGGTCGAACGACAACGTAAGAGCCGAGAGGATCCAGAATTGGCTCAGAGGGCAGGCGAACACTGGTCGTTGTCGAGCCAGTGTCAGCATCAAGGCAAACAGGCGTTGGATTGATCGAAGTCAAGCGGGGGTCGGAACCAGGGACGTTGGACGGAGACAGGCGCCGTCCGTACACCTTGACGGGAAGCACGTGAATCAATGGGCCGGGGCGCGTGAGAGCCATCAGGTAAAGCGGTGGTCAAAGCGGGGCCAACGGCACCTCCGTGATCTATGTCCAAGGGAGAGTCAGTGTCTGAGGCCGAGTTCGAATCCGTGTCAGTGTCATCCTCCTTCCGCTTGCTACGCTTCCCCATAGTGCAAGAGCGCAAAGAGAGCGACAGAAACTAAGTGGACAGGTGTGTGTTTTGAGCGAGTACGAACGGAAGAAGTGACGAGAACGACGAAGAGAAAATAGGGCTCCTTCACAGACAGCCGCAACAGGAGCGACCGCTCTGTGTCAGGACAGTCTTGCCAGTCAGGCGAAGCCAGTGAATGCGTCGACGATGTGTGTCAATCACGAATCACGTTTTGTTCTATATGATGTACGATGTTGGACGTGATTGTTGATTGTTAGTTACTACGTAAATGAGGCTAGCCATCGGATAAATATGCAAGAACACCATGATTAAGGGCAAGAACACAATCCCATAATGACATTTGGCTCGGCGAAAACTTCCAGCACCGTACTGTACGAAGAGTTTGAAGTCCTTCAAATGAGTGCTAAGGTGGCAATTTTGCACGGCGAGTTTGGCAGCACCTCAATTTCATACAAACGTTCCATGATACAATCAATCGACGACAAATTTAGGAGCACAATAACTAAATAATAAAATTGTGTTGACTTGGGCTGCCTTTCCACTTAAACGTATACTAAATAGTTATAAGTGAGTTTATGTCATCCTATCTATCTTTTGAATGCGGACCACCCCACATAAAAGCCGTTGTGCGGTCGCTCTTGTGCTGACAGCTTACATCTCCTTCAGCATGCCAAGAGGTGCTGATTAAAGGATTCACCAAGCAAGCACTACTCATAATGTCCATTCTTAGTGGAGCAAACATTGTTACTTTGATAACGCCATTGAACCGTCATCTCTGCGTTTCCTGAGCGTCAATGACTGCAGCATAAGATCTCAAAAATCAATGCCTTAAACCCGGGAGCGTAAGGCCTTCCTATATATATATATATATATATATATATATATATATATATATATATATATATATATATATCGGCGAGTTTGGCAGCACCTGGCACCCAAACTGGCACCTGGCAGACCACACACACATATGTGTGCCGGGTGGTCACCAGTGCATATCGATAGATCTAATCAGTCAAATGTCATACCATGTTAAATAGGTAAAGGCTGTTTTTGCAGCGGCCCGCCAGCCTGTATAAAAAACCAACAAGTCACGTCAATGCAAAACACAGCGCTATAAAAGCCTTCAAAGCTGTAAGATGTCTGCTGTTACAGATTAAACGGCGCGATGTAAAGGTCATATGTGGGGCCAAAACGTGGCGTTTTAACAGTCTTGATCTGGTGCGACCTGACTGAAGCAACCAGACATACAACAACGTACTTCAGAGTGATACGTTCAATAAAACTAGCTCATCAAGACCCTTTGGAAGCGCATTTTCTGCCAGAATTAAGCGTTCCTTGTCATTTCTGAATAAAATATTAACTACACATCCTCGAGAAATGGGCGACAGATCCTGCACCATTCATGCAATAAACTTCAAATTTTGACAGCATGCGCAAACATGATGTAAACTAAAGTAACCAAAGTTTCAGCATCGCGTCCAAGATATCGGAAATTATTCTAGAATATCCTCAGGGGACCTCTGAGGTTCCCCTATAGGGAGAGGAGTACCACGAGTAGCCTGGTGTACCACGATAAGCCTGGTGAATGTTTCAGCTGCAGCGGATTGGTGCAAAAAAAAAGACATCCTGACCTATCAGAATCAAGTTCTTGGGCCAGGTTAATCTAAATTGCAACCAAAAACCATGGTTATTGCCATCTATAAAATATCAGGCTGATGTGTGATGGGACTGATGACGTCTCCGATCATGAAAATCTGAAAACGCCTCTAAACTTGGTGAGGTAGCGGGATGGATCCTGGGCCTGTATTGACCGTAACAAGGGCAAGCTTAGCCCCATGAGTTTCATCACTTGCGTTTTCCGGGTCACATGGCCCGCTGTAAGATGATTATCTTGACCAAGGGTGTAGTTCATGCGTTCCTATTCAGTGAGTGAAATGTTCAGCCGACTCAACTTGGGCTCCAGACCCCGCTCCCCGCCCCCCCCCCCACCCCCCCCCGCCCCCCCCCCCCCCCCCCCCCCCACCCCCACCCCCACCCCCACCCCCATCTCCAATCCCCAAACTTTGAGAAGAATATAGGCCAAGATCGGTAGAAACTCGGTTGTGGGTGCAATTTAGAGGAAAAATTTCGTCATTTTACACTGCTCAGTCCTCTCCCCTTCCCCAAGCCCATTACAATGAACAACATCCTTGATCCTGACGGCAGTAATTTGTTCGCAAATTGTGGCATGTGCAAATGAAGATGGAAACGAGAACAATCACCCACGACAGCCGTGTTGAGCCAGCACTCACCTGTTCAAATCGAACATAATTTGACGTCGTTGGGGTGCAGCTCCCCTGCTGAAGTTTAACTGATACCTTGCACACTTCGGAGCAAATCGATTGGATACGGTAGCAGCGTCATCATTCCGGCGTATAGTTTCGCCATCCTTCTGATTGCTGCCGCTGCTGAAGGGGGGCCTTATCTTCACATAATCTACAGCATTGATGGCCATCATGTCTAAGAAGTTCTCCAACGTTATGTTGTCTGATTTTAAGTAACCAATGCCTTGAAAAGTGTCCGGGGAGTAGTCAAGAAATGTTCCGTATTTGGTTCCAAAGTGCTTGGTAAATAACTCATATGAGTGTGACAAGACAGCATGCTTGAGATATTCTTTTTCTGTTTGGTTGTGCGCTTTGGCTAAAGCCGTTGTCATGTTCGGAATACATCCCACACTTTGTGCTCGGTCTATTTTGTATAGAAGATCATCCGACACCCTCGCGAACTTGCTCCGATGTAGACATGCATTCATTTCCTGAAACACTGCGTTGAACTGACTGTACTTGGCTGATCCTTCAAACAGTTGTGCCTCCTTGAATCTCGAAAACTTCCGGTAGCTGTTCCCTATGTGGAGGCCCGCTATGGCGTTCAGTGTCGGCAAGGGACATAGTGTTACGTCAAGGTCTCCGAAGCTCCATAGGCCGGATGGGACGAGGACCTGAATCACAGACACGGGATTTTCTCATTTGCATACTTCGACTTCAGAAGCTGTAGAAAATCGTGTTCTAAATATTTTCAAATGTAGCACAAGAGCCGCCAGTGAAACTGTGACAACCGCGCTCACATACTGCATCTACAGGGAGAATTGGACAATGGTAACGTTAGCAACATTATTTTAATAGAGCCTGACCTCACCGAAATTTGAAGCGTTGGCGAGTGAACAACACGGTATTGTCTTGTTGATTGTATACTTACGTCTAAATCTTGACTTCGTGCGTATTCTTTGGCAGACCGATTAGTTGCCAATAGCACTACACCTAAGCAAAATCCCACAAAGAGCAGACGGCAGATGTGATAAACAAATTCCGAGCAACATCCATTTCGAAATTGCGATCTTTCTGTAAACAAATAATTGTATGTTAGCACGAGGTGGTTGGTGCGTGCAAATAATGAGACCAAGTTATTTGATTAGATAATTGCACGAACGGTCAAAGAAGGTGCTGAAGAAATCCATTCCTTTTCATGTCACTTACTTCCAGCCATATTTCCTTTCGGCTACTTATTAGACGTCCGCTGCCTCATGACCTGGATACTTGACACATAAGAACGGTTACGGAAATGATGTTGGAGTGGTTTTAACACTTTTTACACATGCTTCATGTTGGCAATGCTTAATTACATCCACATGGTATGGGAAAGATTCATAATACATTCACCCGACAGGTATTACAGAATTCGCCAAACATTCCGTGACATTTGAACTACAAAGTAGACGTACGCCACAAAAACCGGCGCGGCAGATATCTAAACAGATATCCAATAGCTTTCTAGATGTTAGACTTGATTTTTGCCAGCTATATTTTCTCATTGCTCGTGGCATATTCAATCTGTCTTCTCCAAATTGACGATGCTATTCTATGGCAAACTTTGTGTCGCACGAACAGCTGTCTAAGTGAAAAAATCATCTTACTTTGTGTTTTCTTTGTTTCGAAAATGATGCTTACTACCTAGATTTTGTTTCAATTTAGACTGTGTTTTTTCAGATTTCCTTTTTTTAGGTCTATTGTAATACTGAAGAAACAACCGGACGCCTTATTTCATGACAGTAGTGCCCTGTGGTATGGGCGTTACTCACGACGGAAGTCTGATTGCCTTTACAAATGATAGTCCCATCATACAGAGCAAACAACGCGGCAACCATTCAAAGCATATTCCAAAATAGCTCCCGAACCGCTGGGCTTAGTCGCACCAAACCTTTCATAGCTGTAGCCAATTAGGTAGCGAATCTTTTGACACAAGAATAGATGTACCTCGAAAATTCGTTGACCTATGGCAGGTTACAACCAAGCCATGGCTGTCACTGAAGCCAGTTCCAAAGGATCCGTTCAATTTGATGCGACAACTGAGTGTTACACGGAGCCACACGTCATGGAGATGGTTCTTTTGACAACAATGCAAGTGACCTTGTAGTTGCGTCTATAACCATTGTCTTTGCCATGTAAGCAGGTCAGATCGAGGACAAATCAAATAGTTTGTTTCCAAGGTCCTTGCGGAGCTGCTGGGGTACCCTGTTATGTTGGGAGCAATTTGTAATGTTTTGCGGCGCCCTTTCAATGTCATTTAGGGGGCATTACAGCACACATTGTCTATTATTACCCTCACATCGCATTCCCTGACAGATATTTCTGCATCTTCGGCACAGGGACGTCAGATCTGTTAAAGGAGAGGGGTGCGAAGTACCGTCGCTGCCCTCTCCCTCCAGATCCGCCTCTAACTCTTAATAGCGAGCCATCCCCATAGACTGGGGCAGGGCAGGAACTAGAGACGAAAATTGTCTTCCTGCCATTCCGCCTCATCTGACCCGTAGCAATACGACGACTTCTGCCCAGGAAGTGGGCCAAATATGGCGGGGTTTTGCGGTCAAAAATTTAGCAAGTGTAATAATGCAGTTTTAACATTACGTAAGATCCAACCCTATCACAAACTCACTATGCTGTCAAATAATACAATAATGAAAACATGGCATTCTGTGCGCCATTGCCTCCACGCGACTCCGTCTTTCTTGGGAAACACTGTAGCCAAAACTTTTTACCCATGAATGCCATGGTGTTGATGTCAGGTTTTTTATATTTCAATAAGGTAGAGCAGTTCTCAAACCCAGTTGACATAGCTAATTACATGAAAGGAGTGTTCAAGGTGAAAGCAAAGCGATGAAGTGATCCTCATGGACGGATTAAACCCTGCAAAACCGACGCGCTAATCGGCCTTAAGCTCGCTGTTTCGGCCATTCGTACACTAACATTTTAATCCTAGCCACCGAGACTTTTGGCATGACCAGGAAACGACATTTAGTTCAAGTGAAGCTCCCGAAAAAAAATGTTTGACGTTTATGACGCATTGTATTTCATCGATATTTGTATCTTGTTATTGCATTTACAATTGTATTGCAACGGCTTCTGATAGATTTCACTCTAGATGGCAAGTAAGACCTTTCCAAATTTCGTCGGTGACAGAAAAAAACGCTTTTGCACTCTTGATAAAACTGCTCTTAGCTTGACAGACATCTTAAACCTTGGTTTAGACAGGGCCGAGTATGCCATAGTGCCCAAGGTTTTGGGGCGTGGCAAGGTTGTGCTCCTGATGGGGTAAATCGAAGTAAAACGCCTCTAAAGTAGCATAATGGTACACACCCGCCGGGGAATATAATACAGCTATATCTATATGAGATGTACACGCATCTACAATGTTGTATTCATCAGGCTCCAGGCCTCGGCACGCTTCCTGAAGCTTCTCGGACGCCTAGCTTTGGTGTGTAGACGACAAGTGACGCCTTCCCGAATGCGTCGTGGGAGTGTCGGTTAGCCTGGACGCAAAGGCTCCGGGCGGCTCTGCGTGCCTGATACGGACAGCATGGCGCAGTGATGCACGCGCGCTCTCACCGGCATCAGCGGACTGACGTCTCGGTGACTGCTGACCGCTGCGGCTCATCGGTCCGCCGCCTCTGGCGGTTCTGCGTGCCAGATACGGACAGCATGGCGCAGTGATGCACGCGCGCTCTCACCGGCATCACTGGACTGGCGTCTCGGTGACCGCTGACCTCTGCGGCTGATCGGTCCGTCGCCTCCGGCGCTCTGCCGCACAGGAGCATCCTGGCGCGCGCATTAGTAACGCACTGCATCACGCAATCCCCTCCCCAGAATGCGAGTTCATTGGCAGCCCCTCCCCCCCCCCCCCCCTCCTCCAACACCGAGCGGACTACACGGTCCATTTGCCGTATCGCTCAGGAGGACGGCCACGCCTCTCACTGCTGCGGCGGGGTTGGGTCACGCGCGCTTCTGTGAAACGATTCGTCATGACATCAATGTGTTCAACGTCTTAGCATTTTCAGAAATGTTATTTTCAGACCCTGAGCCGTTTTTCTGAGGTCCAAGCCTCTGAATTCCACGTGAACGCTGGCTGTCTGTTGTGCCATTTGTCGCCATCATATTTGCCTTTGTCCCCGGGTCTTGTCACCATGGTCCGTCAGATGCGGCTGCCTTGTTTCCACGGGTTTCAAGTGATGGAAATGACGTATGAAGCCATAATTTAAGTTGTACTCTTTCCTGGCACGACATGTGCTCCCTTGTCGGCGACTGGTCGCTACAAGTGGCCCGTTCCAATGGGGATGATCTTCTCCTGACGTTTTTTGTGAAATCTTCATGGACACACGTTTTCCCAGAAGTTGAAGGACCATGTCTGCCTTTTTTCCTAGAATCTACTCATCTCGTTTTTTCTGCCTTTTTCTGCTCCCGTCTGATTATATCCTCGTGAACTCCCACCAACGTTTTTGCCAGGTTTCTGGTCCAGGATTGCTGTGCCGAAACGACGCTTTTAACTTTCTTCTGTTCGAGCTATCTCAGGTGTGTATGGCGTCTCGAGGCCAAACTGGAGAAAAAAAAGAACTCTCAGTGGATTGTGCTAAGTTGGCATTTTTTATCTAACAACACTACTACCTTTGCCCCACTCGCATTCCGCCTACTGCACATTGCGACGGATCAGGGTGCCGATTGTCTTTTTCACCCATTCCGCTATGTCATTCAATTGCAGATGAAGTCAGAGGTGCCGATTGGATTTCAAATTGCTGGAATTCCAGATAGTTTCAAGGATAAATTTGAAAATTAAATGGAGAGGGATAAACAAAGTTGAGGATTTTTTGGACGGCGTATATCATTTGTAGTGTCTGAAATTGGCATGCATCTCAACTTATTCAATGCTGTTCGTTTTCGAAACCATTCGATTCTGGGACGTAAACAAGGTTTTCATGAAGCACACAAGAAAAAACTACTTTTTTCAAACATGACATTTATCGCGTACATTGCGACATATTCCTTGCTAAGAATTCGTTTACCGTAGGTCAGGTCAGAAGTCGCCGAACTTAACGAAGTCCAAAAGTTTTGCTTTCAGACAACTTTCAGATAACTGAGTTATCAGAACGTGCCACGCCGGTTCCTGCGAAACCTTATCATTCAGTACGCCATTTCCCCCGATTTACTGTTGAAGCTGCACTGGTGCCATTTACAGCTATGCCTTTTCCATTTATGTTTAATCCCAAGAAAACGTGCAGATTGGTTGGGTTGGTCTTTTAAGGTTAGCGATGTCATTTGTCGCTTGAGTTTTCCTTAGCGGAAGTGCTGTCCTGAAAGTCACGTCCTGAATGCCGTTGCCGCAATTATCAGAACTGCGGTCATGGTCCACGTGGTGGTGCGTGGATGGTCAATGTGTATGGTGTGCGACTGCTGTTTGTCGTGATTATGTACATACCCCCCCCCCCCCCCCCCCCCCCCCCCCCCCCCCCCAGCATTCTTTGTTGGTTGATGACTCCAAGTCGTTCAGCAGTCCGCCCAATTGCACTGAGACTGGGTCACAGCTGTGACGGATGCTGTAGGTCTGACGTGCCCGGCTGTGAGAGCAAGCTGGATGGGCCTCATCGAAACGGACTGTTTCGGTCAGTGTCCTGCTGTGACAGATCCGTGACCCTGGCATCCTTCCTGGAGACATACTTTCTACACTCTTTGTATAGTTTGTCACCGAAGCACAAGTCCCAGAAGCAAACCGGCGAAAATGACGGGATAGACGTCACTGCTTGGTCAGCGGGAGCCTTGGGCTTCACTGCGTGTTGTGCGTGGTCGTGTTAACGCGTGGTTCGACGAGCGCAGCTGTCCAAAATGTGCCGAATTGAATATCTCTTTTTTCACTTTGTGTGTCTTTGCCCATTAAAAGGGGAGACGACGCCCTGCATTTGCGCACAAAATATGTACAACCGTTATTGCTATAATGTGCACGACCGCAAAGAAAATACCCGCGCGCTCCGGCACAATGAAAAGGGTGTATGGCTTCATGACATGCATTGCACTGCCATGTATGTCCAATCGAAAGGCGAAGATTCGGAGACAGTCGGGACTTTAAGTTCTAAATGTCGCAGGTAAGAGCTTTGGAATTTGTGTAACCGACGTCTTTGACCGGACCTATGGTCGCCGGATTTTAAACTCCTATAGGAAATCAGGTATGGCGCATCCAACGTTGAAGGTCTCGCAGCGATCAGTTAAAAATGTGCTGAGAACTGGGTTGTGTGCATGCGATAATTATGAAATTTTTCGGATTTGACGACTTTTGACCTGACCCAGAGTCACTGAATTGTCTAATGCGACAGGGAATCAAATATGGCACGTCCAATGGTGAAGGTTTCACAGTGATCGGTGCAGCAGGCTCCGAGATCTGAGTTGCATGCTTCTGTAT